AAATTAGATTGGAATGTTAATTGTCTACTAATTCTAGTAAAGAAAAACAATTTTTTAGAAATATTATTACACATATACTGGAAGTGTTTTTTCAAGTTCAAAGTGTTATCAACGATGAAGCCTAGGTATTTGAATTCTTTCACAATTTCTATAGTTTCGCAGTAGATCTCAATATTAATGGAGTTGATATCAATTAAGTTATATTTATATTGTGTTTTCAGTATCATAGCTTTCGTTTTAGTGGTATTTAGTTTGATTTTGTTTATGTTCAAAAACTTATTTACGTTCACCTTCAGCAGATTTGCAGAGGAATATCTGTACACCCTTTCAAGACTAGCGTTTATAATATCAACACACTCATGTACATCTTCACTACTAAAGTATCGTCGGCAAATAAGTGAATTCTACATTCTTCTGCTATGGTTACAATGTCATTTAAATATATGAGAAATTACAATGGTCCCAAAATAGACCCTTGGGCCACACCTATATTATTTTGCATTTTATCCGAATAAACTTCCCCTAGTTTCAGCCTTTGCTGTCTATTGCTCAGATAATTCATGATCCAGTTTAGTGATATTCCATCAATACCTACGCTTTCAATCTTTCTAATCAGTCTGTATCTATCTACAGTTTCAAATGCCCTTTGAAGGTCAAGAAATACTGCAATAGTATCTGATCCATTTCCGCACCTTTCTTCCAATCTGTTAAAACACATTGTAACGCAGTTTCACAACTATGTTTGCTTCGAAAACCTGATTGATACTCACAAAGGATCATATTACTCTCCAAATAATCCACTATCTGTTCATATACAGCCCTTTCCAATACTGTAGCTGTAGCATTATTCATGTTTATTGGTCTCAATTGAATAGCTTGGTTTGTATTTTTGTCATTTTGGTATAGGTATAATAGTAGATAATTTTAGTTCAGTTGGTACTTCGCCTTTCTCTAAAGAACTGTTGATAATGTTCAACAATGGATTACAAATGGCACTGAAACACTTCTTCAGAAGTTCTACACAAATTTCATCGGGACTACTTTTATTTTTCAAAGAACCAACAATTCTCTTTTAAAATAGCTTGAAACGAAGTTTACCATCACTTCTAAAAAACCATAGATCGATGTGCACGTGTATGTATGTCCTTGGGTTCAATTTTAATCTTACTTTTCAGTTATTATTTTTTTCAGGTTTAATATTTTAGATTTAGTTTTAATACTGATCTTTATCACAAGGATTTATGTACATCTTTGTAGTAATGACTTGTTTGTTTGCCCGTTAGATAAATAGAAAAGGTTTTTAGGCTATCAATTTTCTGTGACTCGCCACTAAATGGCGCTGTAGACATTTTTTTTTTGAAAGCACTGTTCTATAACGCTGCGCTAAGTTCGTTGATTCTGATTCTGTCAAAACATCGGAACAGCAGCGATACAGCAACATAGTACTAGTAAATAAATTAACGTAATGGAGGGGACCAAAGTGTGGAACAATAATTAAGATGAGATCTAACCTGGGGAAAATGAGGAGATTAAATAGCAGTGATGTTAGTAAAATCGCAGGTGCCATCTTCATAGATTTCTGATTGACAGCGGAAATGTATGATTTATAGTGTGGAGTCTAGGATTACATTTTGGTTTCAAAAGCAGAATGCAAAAAAAACTCTGTTCCCTTGTGTAATCAACTGAGTTTCTATATCGGAAATAACTCAAAAAAAAGAAAGAAGATTTCAATTGTAAAAAAATAAACTGTTTAATTATTCTCTATACAGTACGATAATTACATATATAATTGTTTGAAAATCAATTCACTCCACTTCCATTCCTTCGCGGGGCCCTCGATCATCCGACTTCAGATTAGGATACAACTTATATACTAGACTGTCTGTTTGGCGTCCAGCAAAGTCAGGGCGGGACTTGCTCTTCTCCTGTGACGTGAATATTTCCAAAAGCGTTCGCTGAGTATTATATATAGATCCGCTTCTGTTCAATCCTCTAGATGATGGAGGATTGATGCTGGCCAAAGGTGGTGGAGACATGGGAGAATCTGTTGTGGCTCGGATAACTGAAGCTCTGGGTATGTCTTGGTCAATTTTTCCTGGACCTTGACGAAATTTAAAAAAATAAAATTGAAGAAAACTGTGATTTTTCGTTTGGCATTCTATTTATAAGATATGTGGATTATCTGAAAACATGTTACAATCAAATCTGCATTTTCTAGAACAACTCATTTCAATGAAACAACTGAAAATACCAAAATATTGTCCATAGATTAAGTTACTGAAAAAAAAAAAAAAAATTCGATCATCACGTTTACTACCCTAGAGCAAGAAAGTAAATGCTATGAGAATTTCAAAAAATAAGAGACTTCTTTATCGGTCTCTTTTAAAGTATTTTCATCTACCAAAATCCGAAAACATAAAATTTGTAATAGAGTACTTTGTAAAGGTGTGGCAGGGGCAAACTCTCTAGTCTGGGTGAATTTGAAGCATTTTTAACAATGAAAAATGTTTTATTTATCAGTAACTTGTCAATACTTTAACATCAACAAGACATGAATAGGAAGCTTTTCTTTACGGAAGACATGGATAGGAGCTTTTCTTTGCGGAAGACATGGATACAATCAACAACAAACAACAGGGGCACAACAACAATTATCAACAAGAAATGGAAGAGAGCCTGAATATCCCGAGTATCCCAAACAAACAGAATTTGTTCCAATTAATCACAAGCTCTGTTTGCAGTTGATTCAGTAGGATGTCTACTGCGCCACCTGCAGACAAAGTCTGGAAACAACTCCACAAACACATACTCCGGGGTGGGAGTCAGAATAATAAACATATTTCGGAGAGGTGCATAACATGCCCAAGTTCAGGTGAAAAACACCTCACTCCCCTCTCATGTGAACCTACGTTTTCGTAGGTACGTGTGGCAGATACCCGACGGAAAAACAACAACTAACCCAGCTAATGGCGCGCAGAAACCTGAAGTAAAACCATCAGGCACCTGCGTAACGTCTTCCATTTGGAAGATTCGTCGCAAGTACTTCCTATATATGAAAAGGAGAAATTAATTTAATTTGGTCAGCACGACCACCGATAAACAGGTTTTGGGATACTTGCCCCTCGTCAGTACCGGGCAGGTCATTACAGATGGAGTGAATCATCTGAGTATCCCGAACAAACAAAATCAATTCCAACTAGTCATAAGCTCTATCTGTTGATTCAGTAAGATGCCTATTGTGCCACCTGCAGACAAAGTCAGGAAACAACTCCAAAAACACATACTCCGGAGTGGAAGTCAGAATAATAAACATATTCCGGACAGGTGCATATGACATGCCCAAGGTCAGGTGAAAAACACCTTACCTTTTGGCTCTCATATGCACCTACGACTTTCTCACCTGAATTTGGGCATGCCATATGCACCTCTCCGAAATATGTTTATCATTCTGACTCTGACTCCAGAGTATGTGTATGTATAGTTGTTTCCGGACTTTGTCTGTAGATGGCGCAGTGGACATCCTACTGAATCAACTGCAGGTAGAGCTCATGACTAGTTGCAATTAATTTTGTTTGCTGACGAGAATCTTTCAAATGGATGACGTTGCAGCTTTCTGCGCAGCATTAGTTGGGGTAAGTTGTTTTTCCTTCATTCTCAACAATTTAAATCCTTACTGATTAGTTATATGTTCTTTGAGTATCTATAATTGTCACCGGTTAGATATGAGCCAATTTACTCAAATATTTTCATTCTTTAGGCAAACTGATAACAACAGAGCATTTTGAAGTTAGTTTGTAAGAACAAATTGCTTTATTTTTCACACACTTTTGATGAAATCCATGGACACCTGAAAAATTCACAAAATTACCCATCTTACCAATATTATCCAACTGATTCAAAGCTTCATCTAGTTCAACCTTCTCTGAAATTTTATCCTCGTCAAAATTGAACTTGTGGCATTCTAACAGGCAATTGTAGACGTTCCTGTGATTGTCAGAATGCAGATTATTCTTCAAAAGCGTTTCCAACTCATTCCACATTGATTTATACTGGTCTTCCCTTTTCTGCCCTTTTACTCTTGTATTGACGTGTCTCAAAACTGTGTGTTTCTTGAGACTAATAAATATTATTATTATTATTATGCTGGCCCCACTAATGCCTAAGGTTGTCTCAATCTCACGATAGGTCACATGACGATTTTGCAATATCATACCATCGATAAACACTGGTACTTGATGGAGCTTCATCGTCATAAATTGAATTAAGTTCGTCCATGCACTGTTGCTGAGTTAATCCACGTCGAAAGTTGAAAAAAATAATCGCACGAAAATGTTCACGATTTAATTCCATTTTTGGGTCGAGATGAACGTTTTAAGTTACTGTAAACAACACAAATAGCGCGCGTATGTTAAAACGTTTTGATTATGTATAAGCTCAAAAATGTCCAACTTTACGATAGAGCTGTCAGTTGCCAGATTGCAACACTAGGGTTGCCAAATCCCGAAACATAAAAAGGCAACCCTCGTACCAAGTGACATAATCTGAAATTTTTAGGTGTTGTATATGAAACTTAACAATTTTCCAATGAAGCATTCATGAAATTCAACAAAGGATGTGATATATCCCTTTCCTTTGCAGGTATTATTGCAGGTACCCCCCTAGAAAATGGCAACTCCATACCGAAAACCACGACCCATCAGAACGGCGACACCCTCGACCCTACCACATCTGATGAAAGTAATCAGGGACCGATAAACGGCAAAACTATCATTGATGAAGACACCACCACCTCATTCACAGACAACAGCCCGCCGTCAATAGACCAAAACGAGGAGACAAACGATAGTGTTGTTTCTGCTTCGGAATCCACCAAGGACTCCACCATCTCGGAAGATTCCAACAGCTTAGGCGACTTTACCAAACGGCGGATGGAAGATGATTCCATCCAGCCGTCCACCAAAAAATTACGGGAAGACTTGAGAGATAAGTGACAAATACGTAATTACCTTTAATTTTTTTACTTTACTGTAAGTTTAGAATTTACACACATACCCTGTAATAGCATTATTTAATTTCTCGTCAGTGTCCATGGAAGTCGTAATGTTTCAGTAGTTTTGATTTTACTGAGGAAATAAATTATTCTCGAACGAGTTGAAAACAATCTGTATGTGAGGAACCAATGTTTGTAGAGCTTACTGACTGTTTTGTCGAATATTGCGAGGCGACAGTATTGATGGTAATAATAAGTATAAATGTGGAAATTCAGAAGTGTATATTAGCATCCTTTCATGTGTTTTCCCATCTTGAGTTGCAAAAGGTATCTTTCGAAAAAAAATCCATAGATTTCGTACTTGGCGCCTGGGCCTGAAACGTTTTTGAAAGTTGAATAAAAACCAACCGGTGTGACTGTTAACGATAAGGAATAAATATTACTGGAGTTCTTTCCCAACACCAAATCGTTATTTTTAACACCTCGACACGTGTTTCGATCACCAAGTGAAACTGAGTTCAATCTTCCTCTTGAAGATGATCACTTGGTGATCGAAACACGTGTCGAGGTGTTAAAAATAACAATTTGGTGTGGGGAAAGAAACTCCAGTAATATTCATTACTACACCAAAGATTCCAAACAGTGCATCATAAGATAAGGAATAGTTTGAAATAAAATTGTCATACATTTTATTGTGGTGGTTTCATACAGGACGTTTAAGAATGGGGTGTATATTTTTCACATTCCGGCAAGATTTGAATTTCTTAATTTGACCTAGTCAGGATGCACGAATGGATTACAGGAAATTTACTGTAAAATACATGTGACATGTATATTTTGCAATTTTTTTCTGTAAATCTTTTCCTTCAATTTCTTATTTTGGAAATACTACGCGCATGCATAGATCTAAATTTTTTGATTTTAAAACAGATAAGGATAACAAGACAAAAGTACTTTGTGAGGAAAACTCAAAACATCATAAAAAAAACTGCAAACAAAGATTGTGGCCGCTTCACACATTATTTTTACTTGACCAATGCAACAAGACGTCACCTGTCGCTTTTTGGTGATATTCAGTGTGGCCAACTTTATAATTTACTACATATAAAGTGCCGTCATTTATGTTGGTAATGTATTACAGCTTAAAAATAAAAAGTGGCGTATCATACGAATTGCAACTAATAATTTTGCTTTTATAAGTTTTTTGTAACCAAATTTGGAGTAGCTGTATTTTTTCTGAGTTGGCTACTCTGTCATTAATGTCAGTTGTCATGTTTTATATTGAAAATACTAATAAAAAATGAAGACAGCAAATGAATTTCGAAAAGGGACAATATAAACTAAAACTACATATGGCAATTGACACTAGTAACAAATACACTCGAAATAAATACACGTACTGCAAAAAATCTGTTGAGATATTGACGATAAATTGAATACAATGAAAACAACTTTCAAATAGCAAATAAAACTCAAAAATGGACACTACAAACATCATATACAGATGACAGCTGACACCAGTGACAAATATACAGATTAGCCAACAGAAAAAATACTTTTGGTTTGAATGAAACTATCTGATATGGTATTTATGGTAAACTATGAGTTTCTCGACAACCTTCAATATTTTTTTATTATATAATTAACTTATAAAAGCAAAATGATTGAAAGGAACTATTGTTATATATAGATTGAGCCGTGCATTATCCGAACCAAGTTAATCATTTGATTAACTGCTTTCAAAAAAAAAAAAAAAAAAAAA